ATGAGGTATCTGAGAGAAAAGGGAAAGGGACTAAGAGAAGAGAGGATGAAACAAAATCAAACCGGAGGATGAAAAGAGCAAAAGCACATTTTGTTGTGGTGGCCACTTAATATGTGTGCACTGGCAAATAGGGTGCTTGGTTATTCGACCTATTAAAACACATCGCTTAAACTACCATTACGGTGTTTATCAACAGGGTTTTATATATTATACAAAGATGTAAAAAAAAAAAAAAGCCAAGTTTCTCACAAAAGGGCTTTGCTCTTAAGGGAGGTATTGGTTAATGAAGGGTCACAGCCTGTTACTTTTTTCCACGGAGAAAACAGATGACAGTTACATTTTGGATCTGAGGTTCCATCAAATCTACTTCCCACGGCCTCATACCCAAAGCTCAGGAGAACAAATAGACACCAGCTGATCAAACACCTGAGTGCCTACGTGTGCTTAGCACCAGCACTTGCGGGAACTAGAGAAATAACACAGTCACTGCCCTTGAGGAATATACAAAACAGCTGGAGAGTAAGCTCAGGAACCTTCCAGAACAAAAGAAACTAATTACAAGTGAAAGTACCCAACGCTGACCTCGCTAAGGAGTCAGAGAAAAGAGAAGCAGGGACAGTATCTTAGAGGCATCAGGGAAGTGGGTGGGTCAATGAGATGAAGATTCTCAGAACAGATGGGGAAAGGCAAACACTTAAGGCCAGGAAGAAAGGATGAAAAGAAGCGGGGAGGGCAGGAAAAGACACTGAGTGGCAAACCAGGGCAGCACAGAAGAGATTTTAAATGCTCCTGTCGGGAAGTTGCATGATACATGAAATAAGGTTAGACAGAGAGAGTAGGACATGAAGGGCCCTTAAGAAAAAGCAAAGCAGCGCAGAACCGTATGACAGATAATAGACAGGACTGACAAGTGGCAAGTGGCCGGCAGTAGAATGCAAGATGGCCTAAAGGGACGAAAGATGTAAGAAAATGACAAGTATACTCTGGTCTCTCCTTCCAAAGAGAAGAGGGCTGAGGCTGGAACGATGATGACAGTGCTGGGAGAGAAAGGGGCAGAACTGCCTGACCTGAAGGCGCAATCTAAAGGTTGTGTCTGCTAGGAATCCAGATGGTGAAGAGGCTTCTGGGAGAACGGTGCCACTGAGAGAATGAGAAAATCGGGGAGAGTAGGTGGGTGAAGGGAGAACCATGTGACCAATTTGTTGTGATGATCAAAAACCCAAGTAGAAATGGGCCTGAACAAGGTTATGGCTTGTGGGATGTTTACAGAAAGTTGTGGTGCCTCTCCCACCACGTGTTCCAACTAGTCAAAATGACAGCTGTCCTCAGGCGAGAATGGATCAGAGATAAGTCCTCCCCTCACAGGCAACTGTTACCAGGATCTATGTTTCAGAAGATCGGCTCTCACGGTTTCTTCTCTCACAATTTCCGGTCACAGCGCCCTGACCATTTATTTCTCTGCCATGGGCTCTCCTACACACACTTCCATTTGATTCTCTAGCTCCTTTCTTTTTCCTTTATATCATTTATTAAGGGGCCATTAACATCTGGAGGGGGAAAGCTGTCCTTGAAAATGTTTAAGTTTTCAAATTTGTGTTTTACCTTAGAAATTTCAAAATGAACTGCTCTAAGCCAAGCACCCAGAATCACACCTCCTATGCTAAGCTCCTCTCCGTGGGACGCATCACTGTGCTGAGCATGAGCGAGAGCACAGACCCTTCAAAGCACAACGGACTGGAATGTCCTTCACAGATTAAACTCGCCTCCCTACAAGTCAGGCGCAGTAGCCCCAGGGAATGTTTTTGGCCGAGACTGGAAAGACATCTTCAAGGACAATCATCTCCACAAAACATTCCAGGATCCAAGTGTTATTGGAGAGGGGCCGTGGTCTGATCCAAAGAGCACCAAACTCAAGAATCAGATCTCTAAGCTAACTGTGTAAGCTGAACTTCTCTGAGTCTGATTCCTCACCCTCCAAAGGGGATTGAGGGAGGTGATTTCTCAACTCACTGAAGGTATAACATTCTGTTCCTGGGCTCATATCTAACAAAAGAATGCCCTTTAAATGCTGCAAATGCCTGTTGAAAAACCTCCTCTTCAATTTTGCTTGTTTACCATTTTTTAATTCAAATGAATTAATGAGAACAATAACAGGATTTCTTAATGTTATCAGTATAATGACCTCAAAACAAAAGACAGTTTTTCATGAAATCAATCAAAATGCCATTAACATGTTTGATACCCACAGTGTACCTATTTACACTAGGCACTTTCTACCTAAACAATTTTCTGGCAATACGCTCTCGGTTAAAACAATCAAGGGCAGTAAGGGGACTGAGAGGCCTTTTCTCCAAGTCTTTCTCCTCCATCACGGGACCCCGGGAAATTAGGACTCGGACACACCTGTCAATCCCACAGGCTACCATCTGCCAAACTCTCGGCTGTCACATGCTGAGAAGCTACCTATAGTTCTGTTCTGACTTGAACAGTTTATCTCTTTCCTCACTCTGAATGAACTAAAAAGAGCACTTTCAAAGTAACTCCATTACACTGTTTTTCCTCATGAAAAAAATAAAGGTAAATTCAGTACGGAGACTTATGTCATACTATTAACAATTAGTCAGAAAAGTGGCAAATGACACCACACAAAAATCACTAAAGACTTAACATTCTAGTTTCTTTCTAATTCTGGAAGGGAAAACGGTTGAACAGAATTCATTTTCAGATTTAAAAATATTTTCTAACAACTCAAAAGAAACTTACTAATGCCTTGAAACAAAAACAATTTAAAAATGAGTTAATTTTAAAAGGATGGGGGGGGTTCTGAATTTGAATTTCAAATTCTTCTGTAAATGCATGCATAAAATTGGCAGTGCAAACTTTACCACTTTGAAAAGTCAAGTAAGAAAAACAAGGAAGTTGAACTGTAGACAAAGTACCTCTTTACTAAATCTAGTGTGTGCAGACGAGACCATCTTTGCCTCACACTTATCAGGTTTGCATCAAGCTTTTAAAATTGCAGTTAACATTTTTGGAAAACATAACGAACGTGAAGGTTATGGTGCTTTACCCTGGGACCCCCAGATTCCGCTTCCACCCCCCGCCCCCCACACTTGCTGCCTTTCAGCCTCCACTACCAGGCAAATAATTCAAAGGCTGGCCAGTAGCCTGTGTTCTAGGTACAGGGGAAAGACAGCCAGGTCAAGTCTTTCTAGAATCTGAACTATGAAATGTGACAAGAATTGGTCACTTAAAAACTGGAAGAACGTAAGCAAACACAAAGTGGAAATGCGGCCACAGGGGGGTTTTGACCAGAGAGAAAACTCAGTGAGCTGACACCACAGGGGAGGGAAACCCAGGAGTGAGCAAGGCAGCCAGTTGCTGCTGGGGGTGAACAGCTCCAGCCTGTGGAGGGAGGCGGGGGCCCACAGGGTGAACGAGGTCCCAGGGACAGAGGCAGAGGCCCACAGGGTGCAATCCCATGGACAACTGCCGCCCAGGCCCCCAGCACTGCCAGGAACCACCCTCCCAAGAGGGCTCTGGGAGCTCAGCCCATCCCAGCTGCATTCCTGGATTTCTGCGCCATTCCTATCACACTGCATGTGTTCCCACTAACAGGGCCCCTTCTCAAGCTCACTGGAATGGGTCTTTGCTCTGTACGACCTGCAGCCAAACCAGCACACAGAACCCGCAAACAGGAAACCAGCCTTTCGATAAGCCATTCACGTAGAATACTGAACAGTCCTAGTATTTAAGGGAAATACAGAACTAACAAACACTGCCCTACAAAGAATAGACAAAAAAAACCCTCACACCTGACAGAAGGGGCGTAAGAGAACTTTCTGAGGGGGTGGGTGGACAGGTTCTGATTCTTGACAGAGATGTGGGTCACTCTTTTGTCAGAACCAATCAAACTGTACCCCTACCATGTGACTATTTTACTGTATGTAAATTATACCTCAATTTAAAAAAACACACAAACTTCCTCAATCTAAATTGTTCCCTTGAGAGGACTTGAGTTTTTGTTTTGTTTTTCAAAACTAGATTGATCATAAACAGTGCAGAGCAGATGCCAGATGCAAAAACACCCAAGTTTCAATTCATACATAGAACAGAAACAGGTAACATTCATCCACATGTTCAAAGTCAACAGTAATGGCTAACTTTGAGAAGGGGGTGGGAGGGGGGACTGGGAAAGGCCAAGTGGGACTTCTGACTGGGCTGGTTTGCTCTAGTTCTCGATCATGGTTCAGTTTGACATTTTCATTACGGTTTATTCATGACAGAAACCATTTCCTGTATGTATATGACACCTTAATAGTAACACAAAAGAGAAGAGAAAGAATACCCTATAGTAATCTAAAAGTGATGGGAAACGGGTTTGTTTTGCATCTAGTGAAATGCTAATTTCCAGCCAAACTCTTCAGGTAAATAACAATGACTTTAATTAAGACTTTAGATGCCCCATCCATGGAATTCCAATGTGACTCATGAATTTGACATTGGCCGGAAACTCATTCAACAGCCGTCAGAAAGATGTACATTAGGCTCCATCCTACAGTGCTCTGCAGTATGTGAAGTGAGCCGCCCCCCCCACACCCCCCCACACCCCCGTAACCAGAGCGCTCTTCCAAACAAGTGGCAGAGGGAAGAAACTGCTCTCCACATCCTTTTTCTTCTTGAACGAAGAGCAAAATGCAGAGGAGGAAGTATTTAGTCAGAATCCCACTTCTGTTTTCAGAGGGAGTATTAACTCAAATTCATACATTACCCTGAGGTGCATTTTTTAAAAACAAAGTGCAGATTTTGACTTTCAGAGACTTAAAGAGTTTAAAAACATTTTGCAAAATCTAGCTCCATATGCATAAAAAAAAAACAGCATAAGTACAAATGAAGCAATGGAGACAATAAAATAAACATCAGTTAACAGATCATCAAATCCAAATATTTAAAAAACATAAGAAGGAAAAGAGTAACTGAAATGTTGAGTAAGTACTTACAGCCATAATTAATTCAAACGGATGTTTATACACCCTCACGGGTGACTGGTATTTTTGCACCATGATTGTAATATAACAGCAATCCTCTCACACCTGCAAAATACAAACATGTGATAAATAACCATGATGTGGAAAAAAGTAAGTCTATTTACACATCATACCATCGTCTAAGGGTAGAAAGGAACCAATAGGTCATTAATTCTATGCATACAAAAACCAAAATAACACCTAGTTAGCCAAGGGCAGGGGATGGTAGTAAGACAGTGAGAAGGTGAAGAAAGCCAGTTGCAAGGAGGGAAACTGCCCTGGCCTGAGGCCTGGGGAACGCGTTTCCACCTGCCTTGCTGGGCCTCTCTAAGGGCTGCCCAGAGTTAACAGTCCTTTCTCGCAGTGAAATGTTAGGATTTGATGATTCTGATAACTGATACAATTGGTTCTTGAATCATTTTCTCCCCAACAACTTCTACTAGAAGCCAAATTAAAATGGTGGCACTTCCAGATATTTATTTTGGAGGCACACAAAAATTAACAAGTGGAAAAAAATACTATTGGATCTCAAATGATGGAATACTCCTCAAAAACCAGCATCCAAGGAAAACTGTCAATCCCCACTTTCTAACTGCGCAGACTACGATTTCAGAGGCCTGTCTTCAAAGGGCAAAGACAACTCGAGTTCTCGCCAGAGGCTCCCCTGAAGTTTCCAGTCTCAAAGAGCTGTAACATCCGTGTAAGTCATCAATTAAACGCTGGCGCCTACTTCACACGTCAAGGAATTCACACTCCCGTCCCAGCCTACGTAGGTTTTCTGAAAACATTTTTATTTGGAGTCCCCTGTGGGACTTCCTTATTTAAAAATGAGGAAAAAAATAAATCCAAAGAGCCTACCTGTCCTGCAGAGAATAATCATTAAGAATGTTAGTTTATGCTGAGTGTGGTGAGAGGACACTCAAAAGTACAAAATGGAATATCCTCAAGGAGCCCAAAGTCTAGCTGTAAAAAAAACAAACAAAAAAAGTTACGAAAATAGATTTTATTTCAGAAGATTCCTATCTATAGGGTAACATTTAAACAGGTCTGAACTTTCTCTGGTGTGTGTGTTTAGCATCCCTCTCTGAAGGAACAGGTTATGGTGGAAAGCAGCACTCTTGCGACAGTGTGAAAAAAGCTAAATAACTCTGGGTGACCTCAAGCAAGTGCCTGGACTTCGCTGGAACTCAGTTTCACCTCCGTAAAATGCGGATTGGGGTGAGATAATCTTGAAAAGACTTCCAGCTCTACAATCATTGAGACTCGGCCCAACTCCTGAGTTCTCCACCACACTCCAGTGGAAGAGGCCTCATTAATCTTGATTGCGGGGCTGGCGGGTCCTGGTGCGCTGGGACCGCATTCTGTTTAGTTTTGCAAAGCACAGTAGGAATTCAATAGTCTTTTCAAAAATTTTTAACCGGGAAAATTATTTTAGGCTATCTCCCCGATAAGGGGGAGGGTGATTAAGGGGTATAAAAAGCGGTGGGGGTGGGGGGATGTAAAGAGCAGATGCTCGCTTAAGACACTGCAACATCCATTGCGGATTCCACAGCCCGGCAGGACCCGAACTGACTACGCTCAAGAACGTGCTAATTCACGAGCTTCTGAACTCCTGCCAGTTTCCAGCTTCGGATGCTCTGGTCCAGAGAAACGTCCTACGTGGGAATCCGGAGTTAAAACGGCCAAGCGGCATCCTGGCCCGGGGCAGCCTCTATTGCATGACAATTGGTCCTTAAACATTAGCCGATGGCCAAACCCAGTGAGTCCATCCCGAGGACGCTCGAGGGGCGGCCGGGCCCTCGGATCGGTCAGGAGGTCCAGCGCAGCGGCTCCAGCGTGGCCGCAGCCCCGGCCGACCCGGGGAGGTGCGCCAGGGATGGGCTCGACCCCAAACTCTGCTGCCCGCAAGGAAGGGTTCGGGTGTGGGAAGACCGGCGGGGTGGGGGCGGGGACGGGGCGACCGATACTGTAGGAGCGGCGAGGGGGGCGGCGGGCCCGGGACGGGAAGAGGGCCGACCTGGGGCTCCGGGCCGAGGGACCGAAGGGAGCCGAGGGGGCCGGGAAGGGTGGGCCGGGCGTGGAGGCGGCCGCGAGAGCCCCGCGCCTCCGGGAGGGGTCGGGCCGGGGGCGCGCTCGGAGCCCGCGGCGGCGACGCGCACCTACCTCTGTCAGAAGGACCCGGCCTGGGACGCCGGGCGGCGGGGGTCGCTCATGCCGGCGAATCCACTGTGCCGTCGCCGTCCCCCTGCCAGCGGCCGCAGCTCCACCGCCGGTTCCGGGGAATGGGCCGGGGGGGCGGGAGCGGGAGGGGCGCGGCGAGGCTCCAGTGGTTGTTACGGGTGACGGGGAGGGCGGGGCCGGCAGCCGGAAGCGGCACGCGTGCGCGAACGCTGCCGAGGGGGCGGAGGCGGGCGCGACGGTGGTTGCTAGGGAGGGGGGAGGGGTGACCAGCGGGGCCAGGCCGAGCTGCGCAGGCGCCAACTCCAGGCTGGCGGCGGTGGGAGGAGCTCGGAACAAGGGTCGGCTCTTACGTAGGGCTGGTCTCGAAGAAGGCCGCTGGCCGCGCCTCGTTTGCGTCACGGGGCGGGGACATGGTGAGGGGCGGGGCGAGACCCAAAGTGGGCTGCGCGCGAGGGCCGAAAGTAGTTCGGCTGAATTGGAGCTGGGAAGCCTGCGAGGTGTCAGGACAGCTGGGGCATTCCAGCGAGGCCGCTCGCCCTGAGGCCCTGCCCCCAGTCTGATCGGCGCAGGAGGTCCCCCCCGTGCTTCCTCATTTCTTGTTGACTACTCAGTGCCCTGACCACATTCTAGCCGAGTAATGCCGATGAGGCAAGCGCCAGGACTGGGGAGGAGGTGGGTGGGACCCAGCAGCATCCTGTCAACAAGTCCAGGCTGTGGGGTGAAACGAAGACGGCACTTAGGGCCTGCCTTTTGGGGAGATGAGGGCTGCATTTCAGCGGGAGAGCCGCGGTTCCAGCTCCAATTTCAAGCACAAGTGTGACACACACCGAGACATTTAGGGGTCCTGAAGAGGAGCTAATGACTCGAGGGGGCACCACGCACTTCCACCCACACTGCAAGGCTGGTTTTATAACCAGCGTACAATTTCTCCATCAATGTGACTGTTGTTCCGTTCACATTCGTCACCTGGGTGGCTGTACATTTGATGCTGCCCCGGCGCAGGATATTTTTGGAACTGTTTTGGAATTTCCTTCAGGGCCACTTTACCAGTCTCACAAGAAAACCATTCATTACTTGATCACACTTTTTCAAGTTAAATCATCGTTTTCCAGCTTGATCACCCACACTGCTCACTAGACACAGCTCGGACTGGCTTTTTGCCTGTTTGTAATATCACAACCACTTTCAAAAGATGCTTTGAGAAAGGGACAACCCAGGAGTGATGAGCCTACTGATAAGAGTAAACAGTAGCACCTATGAAATGGTCTTGCCAAAAATTGACCCGATCTGATAAGCCTCTAGAGGTAACTACCAATTTACAAGAAAGAGAGAACAGAGGAATGTGCCAAATGGCACCATGTAACGACTGTGGGAAAGTATATGACAAACATGTTCCCTGTCAAAACTCCAAAGGAAAAAAGGGGGGAAGGACCAACATACGGATTAAGAGATTGGGGAATTCATTGAGCCATATACTTGTGATTTGTATGCTTTTTTCTATATATGTTATACTTCATTAAAAAAAATTTTTAAAGGCGAGATAACCAACCAAATGCAATATATAAACTATCTCCATCTTGATATTAACCAATAAAATAGTACAAAAATTCGTTTCATCAAACAGTGAAGTTTAAACACTGAACACATAATGATACTAAGAAATGATTACTTTTTTAGGTGGGATAATGGTATTATGGCTAATATTTTTAAAGAAGCTTTATCTGACGTCAGGATGCTGTATCAAGAGCCCACTCACACCCAGACACTGACACTGTAGCCTGTCACATCTTCCCCATCAGGATTAACCTGAACTGGGGACACTGTTACTGGTCCCTCTGGCCCCATCTTCTCCACTGCTCTTAGCGCCATATTAGGAGTCATCTCAAGGAAAGCGTGGGAAGTTGTTGACACCAAGAGGATGGGGGGTATGGATTAAGGAGAGGGTCAAAGCAGGAAAGACATTAGGAGGCAAGTGACAGTCTTAGCTAAAATTTCAGGCTGCAGAGCCCAACCTCTTCCCCACAACAGCAAAACAAAAAGGAGATAAGTCTGAATGATCTCTTTGTAAGTTACTAAGCGTCAAGGTCAGTTACGTATCTAGGCTGTGCTGAGAGGTCCAGTGGCACTTACTTCTTCCTCTCTGGTGGCCCTATCCACCCTGGCATTTGTGCTTCACAGTTTGGTCAGTCAGGACATGGTCTCCTCCATTCTGGAAGACACGACTTTCTCATTTGGTGGTAAAGGGTTAAAAAACAGCCTTGCAAGACATGACAGATTCTCCTGACATGGGCCACTTGGCGAAGTCTCCAGCATGGAAAAGTACAGAAGATATAGGTTACCCAAAGGCACAATTTCCTAATTGAGCTCTGGCGGTCATCCAGTGGCCGTGAGCTCGTACCATTGCATCATTCCCAACCTGGGAAAACTTCAGGCTACGAAGCCAGGTCTGCAAAAGTTATCATCCAGCCTTCGATGTTTCTAAAATATTTTATTTCTGTCTGGAGAGGCAAAGCTCCCCGTATCTTAATTGTTTTCTCTGCCTACCAGTCTTCCCTATTCCAGGGCACCCTTCAAGCTGCTGGCAGAATTCTCTTTCAAACACACAAACACACACGCCTTCACGCCAAAACTACATTGATGACAGAAATAAAGGTAAGCTTCAAAGCCTGCCACCCGAGGCCTTCTACAAATCTTGTTCCCAGCTTTCCTTTGTCCAAAATGATTTTATTTCCACATCCACTTTACCTGTTCACTTATTCATCCCTTTGTTAACTCAGCAAACAATTATTCAGTCCCTGGATTTTTTCAGACACTATTAAACATAGGTGTGTGGGAAGATGCGCTACATAAAAGCAGATTGGCCTTCGGATGCTCAGCCGGCTGCACAGGACAGCGAACGATGAAAACGCAGCCTGCCGAGTTCTGTAGCGCACCCCTCTCCCCCAAAGCTTTTCCTTCACGTCCTTTTTCTATATGCCTATGCATTTGGCACCTCCATTATAAGGCATACTTCCTTAAATGAGATTGTACAAGAATCAGGTCTGTCTCTCCCATCGAATTGCTTGGGTCCTGAGACCATATCTACTCATTTTCTTCTACCTATCATAGCACCTGGCACTTTCCAGAACCCTATTAAATACTGAATATTGGTTGGGTTGTTTGGATTGAAGTGATGAGCCTTAGATTAGGCCTTTATTCTGAGGGATCAAACACGATCCATCCCACGGACTGAGCTGAAGCATCCTTGGGGGTGATGCTCTCAACCTGTTCTGTCCCCTGTGTCACCAAGCTGGGACATGGAGCTAGGGAAGCAGCCCAGATGAAGAGGCGTGCTGCAGTGTGCCTTGGGAAGCAGCACAGCACTCATCTGATGAGATCTAGGACGACCAAGGATGACCTGAGGCCTTTCAGCTTCCGGCTCAGAGAAATAAAAATAGCCAACCCAATCACACTTCTTTCTGGTTTGTTTCACAAAATAGCGTCCTCGCTTCTCCTACAATGATGCAGCTGCGCGGCAGTTTCCTAGGCCAGATCCGGACTTGGGTTAGCAAGTCAGCAATTTGTCCCCAGGCTGCCCCACTGCCAGTCACACAAGCTGGAGGTGGGGCTGACCTGCAGAAGGAATGAAGTGCTAACAAGGGACAGACTGAAGGTCATATCACGAGGGGGGGGGGCTGGGTGAGGAATAACAAGCAGAGAGCGCTAAATCCAATTGGTAAAGCAATTTCCCCAACGGAAGAGAGTCCTCCTTCATCTTCAGTTCTGTGGACAGAGACTGGACCATACAGGGAGGAGACAGACAGGAGTCATTAGAGCCCAGAGCTCCCCCACTTTCTTCTTGACATGCGTGAAAAAGAGGGCCGCCTCTGACCCTGAAATCTCCTGTCATCCCAAATGCTTCTGACCATGGGGGGAGTGTTTCAGTTCAATTCCTTATTTGGGGTGCATCCCACAGCCAGGGATCCTACAGCTCGGCCTTCAGAATGTTTTGTGACCACCCTTGGAGACACAAATGTGCTCATTTCACACCTGGCTGAAAATTCCATCTCTCACCCCTTCCCACCTTGGCAGGGCCTGTGTGCCTGGTTGAGCCTTCTCAGTAGCTTGAAGTACCTTTTAGGATTTTTTTTTCTTCCAAGGGGAAAAAAAAAGGCTTGTCTTAAATTGGACGTTGATGAGATCTGATGTCAGAAAACCTGTGTCAAGGGGTTGTTAAGCTTAGACAGAAAAACATTTGTGAAAACACTTTGTAACCAGTTAGGCTCTGTGTAAATGCTTCCCACAGCCAGGCACCCTACAGCTCGGCCTCCGGAATGCTCTGTAAGCTTAGGTTATTATTATCATGCCTCTTCCTCTGGTTGGTTACTGACATCATCCTCTATTTATTTAAATAAGTTCATCACCTTCTTAAATTTCCTCTAAACAGAAAAATACTAGGAAGAGTGTTGGTCAAAAGACCAGTCCTCACTTGAATGGTTGTAAGCACAAGCCCACTGAAAAAATATGGGGGTCTTTGTTGGTAAACTACCTTCTGTAACTACAAGTTCCATAGGCCTTGAAGGGGGTCAGGGGACACACGCAGAGATGGTCACCTTGCTTACCTGGGCACAACAGTCTCCGCCACCCTCCAAGTTCAGAAAGCTCACTTGACTAAAGTGCTGAAGTGTGAAAGCATAACTGATCCTAACAGGGCCTGAGCCTGCTGCCCTGCTTTCCATGGTGGCCTTTGCCAGGTGCTGGGCTCGTGCCAAGGCATGACCCACATCTGCCTCCAGGACATCAGCGGGGGTTCTACTGCTCCCCAGAATTTTCAACCCCTCTGACGCAAAACCGAGAGCCTGCATGACCTTCCTCACGACCTTCCTCCGTACCCCCAGGGACACAAGGCACACCTTTGAACTTGACACAGAGGCTCAGGAAGCACCCACGCTGGCGCTGGCGTGCTGGTTTCCTGGGGCTGCCATAACAGACTGCCATAAACTGGGGAACTTAAGACAACAGAAATATATTCTCTCGCAATTCTGGAGGCAAGAGGTTCTGGAGGTGAAATCAAGGTGGAGGCAGAGCTGCGCTCCCTCCTGAGGCTCTAGAGGAGGATCCTTCCGGCCTCCTCCAGTTTCTGGAGGTGTCAGGC